TTAGTTTTATGATGCCTAGCCGAACACTGGCTATCTATCCAAGGAAGAAAATATGCAAAGCTATTAAGCCAGAAAATTAAATTTCTTAATCTTCTATACTCAGATATTAGCCTTCTTACACTCACCTTAACTTTAAAGTCTGAGAACAGCTGCAGAAGTTACCAAGGGAACAGAAGTGAACAACCAATCAAATGAAAACCACTGAAAGCTGTGGTTCTCAACCTGTGGTCCCCAAGCCAGTGGTCTGAGCATCAGCAGGGAACACATGAGCATGGGAAACTGATGGTAGGATCCAGGAGTCTGGTTTAACAAGCCCTCCAGGTGATTCTGACACACTCAAATTTGAGAACTTCTGGTGTATGATCAAGCCCTGATGAAACAGTTTCAATTTTCATCATAGCATACCCTCAAAACTGGGGTCTCTGGGCACACATTTTTATCCTTCCCTTAGATAACTCAGTCAAGGTTTTACCATGGACAAATCAACCTTCATCCCAGATTGGAAGGGGCGAGAGAACAAAAGCAAAAAAATGACTCCAGCAAACATGAGCGACCCACCTGTCCAGAACCCACCTGTCCAAAACATCACATGTCTGCATACAAAGTCATTTCGCTCTACTTCACTATATTATAATGTCCACGAGGAAATAACAACCCCAGTCAATTCTGATCTGCACAACCAAGTGATCTGAGGATGTTTTTGTTGTTGTTGTTATGCACTGTTTTCCTGAAGGCTGTAGTTTACAAGAATCTATCAACAATGTTAAATGAAGACTTAACTGTACTCAGAAAACAGAGCTATAAACATGAAAACATTCAGATTTCAGTTTCTCTGGTTTTCTCACTGGTTAGTACATTCTCAAAGCCACTGACCATCAACTTTAGGGAAGAACTTTTTGAAATTTATTAGCAAAATTTACTTTGAAAATTGGTTACCTGGAAAATGGCAGCAAAAATACTCAATATTTAAAGAGGAACAAAAAAACACTGATTTAGAGAACTAAGTGCTGGAAGGAAATGATGTCAAGTTCATTTTTAATATTAACAACACCATTTGTAAAACTGCTTTGAAAATACATTCTTGCAAGCTTCAAAAAACATACCTAAACAACCCTAGTGAAAATTATAGCAATTGTTTTTGTTTTTTGAATGACTGCTCATTCTATAATGAAATATTTTCATGCTGTTAAGTATCATGAAAATAACATCTTTAAACACTAACAATATTTATAAACATTAGCAACTCTTGTTCTTATTTTATGTGATAAAATATACATAACATGAGGCAATTTTTTTAATAGAGAAATTGAGTTGATGCTATATAGCCCCTTTCTGAAAATAAAAATAAATACTTGAAGAGTATTAGTGATCTACCCTAGACCCTATTAGTGATCTACCCTAGATAGAAAATATTAGTGATCTACCCCAGGTAGAAAACCATATATTCTTGGTTCCCAACCAATTTTAAGTCTACAGCTCAATTTATGTCAATGGGATTTTTAAAAGTATGTAGATAGGGCCTCCATGGTGGTGCAAGGGGTTAAGTCTCAGCACTATGAAGCTATCTGCAGCCAATTCAGCATGAGTTCAATCCCTGGCCAGGGAGGTAATCCACATGGCGCAGCACACCTCTCCTGTCTCGCCCACTGCTCCCCTCAGCAGTGTATTTCAGTCAATCCACCTGTTCTGCTCCCCACTCTGTCTCTGGTGAATCCTCTCACCCCCACCACACCTCTGGCCTGTACCCCAGTTCTTGTATGCATAAATAAATAAACCTTTTTTAAAAATATAAAATAGAAGTATGTCGATAGTAGCACTCTGACTAGTTCAAATGGCCAGGTTTGACTGAAATGTGTTAAGGCTGACATTCCTCCTGCCCAAGACTACACAGGCTTGACTAAATGAGGGCCAATCCTGGAACTGGTTGGTTTGCTCCCCACCCCACCTCTCTCTGCACCTGGGACAAAGAACTCTGCATTGGGCCATTCCAGCTGAGCTCCTCCAGACTCACATCCTCAAGTTGACTCTGACCCACCAGGAAGGTGTGGAGCCAAAGGACACATCACCATGGCAACTCCCCACAACAGACCCAAGCTACTAGCACAGTGCTTCTATTTCTGAGGACACAGATAGATCCATCCTGCAGAAGATATGTGCACAGATATCTGCAAAACATTATCGTTTGATATCTAGAGACCACAGTGCTCTATCTCAGTGGTTCAACAGAAACAGACTCTTTGCCATTCAGCTCTGGAGACCCTATGTCAGTTTGCCCTAAACAGTCCAGGTTTATACTTGTTACACTGTGTCATTATTTGTGGGGCCTCATTTTCTAATTTAAAAAATGTTGCCATCCATTAAATAATAAATTGCAGAGTTGTTCTACAGATGGACCTTTTTAGAAAAGGGACAAGCATGGCAGAAAAGCCAACAGTGAGTTTATTTGGGGGGCTGCATTGCTCTGGGCTACCTCCCACACTTTGTTCAGCAACTGCAGAGAACGCTTCAGAGATTCTCTTAATGATTTCATGAAGTCAGCTCCACCTCCAATATAGAACTCAAGGGCAAAGAATGCAGTCGGCTTTTCTCTCTGATTTCAAGGGTGCTGAGAACCATGCAAAGCCTATTCTAAATTCATCCCTTTTACAAGTTCAGCTGCAGAATCATCACTTCTGAGAGTTGTCCTATCAATTCTTCCTCAAAAATGGTCCTAATCCTTCCTACTGTAGGAGCACATGGACTGAATTCAGAAGCTCAAAAGGAAATGTGACAAACTACACAGAGTGAGGCCTATACCTGTGCACTCAACAAATATTTATGCCATGAATCTCTGAAGCCAACTCTCATTTGTTTTGGTTTGGCCCAGATAGGATTCAATATTTAAAATATTTGCTAATACTTGAAAATGTGAACTCATGCATAAAGATCCAAATTTCCACTTTCTCTTGAGAAATCAGATCTGGCCATGATGAGCTTGCATTATGTTTATTCAATTTCCAACTGGAGCTGAGTTGCACCTTGAGAAAGGAAACCCATTATTCACTCCATGGTCTTCAACCCTCTTCCCAGACATTTGAGGTAGTAATCCCTGAGTTATGGCTGGAGATATTCCTTAAGGGGGTAAACATCTGGCCTTCTTAATTAACAATCCTCTGCCAAGGATTCTCTTCCCCGCCAGGGATTCTCTAGATTTAGAGCAAATAGGAATTCATATCTTTAGATCAACGACTCAACTCGGGAATGGCAATAAGCAGGCAGAGTTGGTTTTCATTGCTTTTATCAAAAAGTTACATGGTTTCCACTGCTCCAACAGTGCCAAAAGGAGGAGCCTAAACATATTATTATTTGTAAAGTAACAGCACATTTAGCCTCTAACACCTAAACACATACTCAAGGCAAATAAAAGCAGATGTTTTTAACTGACCTACCAGTCAATCTGGAAGAGACTCAATAGCAACTACTAAGAATTCAAGGGGCCTTGACCCTTTAAAAAGACTGTGACCATCAATGAAATTAGAACATTAACATAAACCACCAAAGATCATGGAATGTTCCTTATGATCCTGAAAAAGTGCAATTTCTTTCTCTTTACTGAGGAAACCAAAAAATTTTAATATTATAAAGACAGTGATAACTTTCAGAAATAAAGAACATGCTGTACTCCAATCTCATTTGCAAAAGCTTTGACCAAATAAGCATAAAATAAAATTCACTTTAATCATGGCTAGGATGTTGAGGTAATTCATAGTAGAGTATTTTGCCATAAATATGACAGTGATCTCATAAACCACAATTGCTCTCTTCATATTGGGAGTTCTGGGTGTTAATATATTAAACTAATTTCCAAAGTAATAAAGTCTAAGGTAACCAGCTTTAATTTTATTTTTAGTCAGTTACAGGCCTTTTGTGAAAAACTACTGGAGAAACAGAAAGTCATTTACAGATACTAGAATAGCAAAGAAAAATATTTAGTTTTATTTATAGGATGTTTTTCTCATCTGACTGTTAATCTCCCAGCGACTGGAGGAACTGCCACTTGGTGCAACTGAGACTTTATTTATTTATATTGCGATAACACTATTTTCCCAAAGACTCTAAGGTACTATGCAAACATTATTTTTAGAAAAGCATTTTGGGGTCTTCTGTATGGTTAAAAACTACGCATTTTAAAAGTCTATTTTCAAGACACTATCATGACTCCTCTTCTATGAGATAAAGGGTAACGACTGTTTTTAAGGAAGTAAAAATGCACTATTTGATAACTAACATCTCCATTTAGTAAACCCTGGAGAACTGCCAGTGGAAAACAGATTTTGACCTGTCATCCAAGCAGGTATGGAAACGCTCTCCAATTAGTGTGTAAAAACTTGCAAAAAAAAAAAAAGTTTTCATTCCACTCAATATCGAAACGCAGGTTCGTACGTTGCTACCTGGCAATGCCTAGTAACTTCTCTCCAAGCCCTGCTCGGAAATAGCCTCCTAGACCCGGCACCTGCAGGTGCCGCAAGGACGCAACAAATGAGTTCAAGTTCAGGACACCCGGACACCACCAAGACCTGGGTGAGTGCGGGATCTCCAGACACCCGAGCGGTTCTCGCACTCCCCTATACACCCACACCTGCACGCAGGCTCACACACGACCACTGCCCGGCAGGCCATCTCCACTCACGCCCCCGACACCGCGACCCACCCAGGGCGCGCGCCATTCCCCACGTCCTCCTCCCGCGCGCCCGCTACTCCTGGGTGCCGGAACCCCTCTCCCTGTCCCTCCTCTGTCCCGCTGCTGCTCGCGACGTCCCACCAGCCCCAACAAGCAGCTTCTCCACTCCCGCTGGAAAAGCGGGACGAGCGGGCACTAGAGCGCACCACGTGGAGGGCGCGCGCCAGCAGTCCAACCCCAGCGGGTCCCAAAGTGCCACCCCAGCGCCCTCCCACCCGCCGACCCGCCACCCCGCCGGCGGGGCCGGCCCCTCCCCCGCGCCTTCGAGCCGCGCTCTTGCCTGGTTGGGGTCTGTGGCGCGAAAGACGTGGCAGGCCATCTGCGACTCCGGGTCGTCAGGCTGCGCCTTGATCAGGTAGGCAAAATAGGTGAGGTCGTGGCTGTTGTGGATGAAGCGCGAGATGTGCTGTGCCTTGTGCTCAAAGATGAACACGGCCGAGTTGGGCGGCGCGGTGGCGGGGCCGACGCCCCCGCAGCCCCGGCGCCGGGCGCGGGGACGCAGCGCAGGAAGGGCGCGCTGAGCACCAGCAGCACCTCGCGCGCCGCCGGGGCCCCGCAGCCGCCCGCGTCGGACTTCTGGCTGCGCCGGCGGATCTCGGCCATGAGCCAGGGCAGCATGGGCAGCGTGGTCCTGCGGTCCAGGCACGATCCCCCCACGTACCACAGCCGGAACCGCTTGTCGCCCGGCTTCCCGGGGCCCGACTGGTCGAGGGCGCCCGGCTCGGGCTCCAGGGGGTGCGGGAACGGCTCATCCTGGATACAGCTGGGGGGCTCCATAACTCCGAGGCGCCCCCAACTCTCGCGCGGAAGGCGGGCCTCCGAAACCGTGCCAACTGCCCCCCGGCCCGCCTGGGCACTGCGCGCCCCGAACTCCGCGCTCAGCGGCCCTGCCCCATGCGGCACTTCCCCGGGCGCGGCGGGCAGCCTGGGGCGGCGGGCACGGCGGGAGCGCCCGGCGGCGGGACTGGCAGGAGAGGGCGGGTCGGAGCGTCACCCTCCGTTCCCGGGCTCGCGCCTGGGGGCCGGACTTCCCCTTCCTCCGGGGGCAGCGCCGCGCCGAGGGCCCCGGCCACCGCAGCTGAGCCGCCGCGCGCGCCGCGGGCGGGCACCCGGAGGCTGGGCGGGGAGCGGGGCTTGGGCGGGGGGGGGGGTGACTTGGGCGGAGCTGACTCCTACCAGGGTGACCGGCTGTCACCTGGAAGGTCGGGCTGCGGGGCTCCGGCGCGGCCAGTCCTTGGGAAGGGCCTGCGAGAACTATTCCGATGGAAAATAACAAAACAAAACGTGGCCACGCGGGGGCCGCTCCTCCTCCAGCCGCCGCAGCCCAGCTCGCTGCTCCTCCTCCAACTGTTCCCGTCCCTCCCTCGCGCCTTCCTGCCTTCCAGGCTGCTGCCTTCCATCGGGTTGCTACCCCGCCTCCCGTCTGGCGGACAGAGAACGTCGCCTATAACCGCTTATGTGTGAAGTCGCCTCCGCCTCTTCCTCTGGCCCCTGCCCCAACCCTCCCCTCCGTGCAGCGCAGGGCGGCAACCCGGTGCCCAGCGCGGGCACTGCCAGGCCAACTCGGGCGCCCTCTGGTCACCAAGATTTCCCACCTCCCCTGACTTCTCTACTGCCCCCTGGAGAGTGAGCCACTCTGGATGGGGCGCTGGGATTTTATTATTATTGTTATTAACTGTATGTACTTGGCTTCGGTTTCTTCTGAAGCTTGCATAATATTTTCTAAATCTCTGTTCCTACCATTCTCAAAAAAATGAACATGGTTTAAACCACATTATTAAGATCAAAGATTGCAATTTCAATTTGACTTTGAAAATATAACATTGGGTGTGCCAGCTGCTTGAAATCTAAAGAAATTGCGAATTATTTATTGTGTATATCCAGTTCAGAGCTAGTGTAAAGATTCCTCACTCACCTTTTTATACGTGGTAATGCACATTTCCAAGGAACTCAAAAAAAACATTTTGGGGATAGTTGGATTGTTCTAATTTTAATACAGAAAGATAGAGAAGTATTCGCCACATTAGCAAATTGGATTCTCCTTTACTCTTTTACTCTTGTTGTATTATAATTAAGAATTAGGTAAACAGAGTAAATGGGAAAGCCACTGGGAGTGCCTGACTTTCTCCAAAATGCTTACAGGCAGAACGAAAAGGCAATTTTCTCACTGTTTCTGGTTTAATTGGTATTCTCCTCTCTATAAAGCCCTGTGACTTTTGCACTACTTATGTAAGCTTACTAATATCAGCTGCCCTTATTACTACTGAATGTCTAGGCTCTTTTGTAAAGAAGCATCTAACTGCAAGATAGAGACAGTATTAATTGCTTGGGTTGATCATTTGATTTAATCAATGCACCACTCCTTTGTACAAAATAGACCCATATCTTCAAGAAGCAATAAAAGGTTCTTGGAATGTAGACTGAGCCTACTCTAACCTTAACAGAAACTCTTACATAGGTCCTATTTCCCTAAGGCACATATCTGAAATCTGTAAAAGAGAAAAGAACAAAGATTTGGAGAAAGCATGGAAGTCTTGTGGTTCCACCAAATCATGAGGCTTGGGAGCTAGGATTGAATTTGGAGCCCCCAACAGGTCATTTCCTGCTGGTTAAGGAAAAGGAAGCAATTAAGAGCAACTGTTACTTATTGACAAAAAGAAACAGAAGAATTGTCTCTTATTACCTGACATTTATATGGAATTGCTTCCTGCTCTGGAAAACACCCATAGCCCTTTCTATCCTAACATTTTTGTCATGTTCATCTTACTGTGCATTAACGAAAATAAGTGCTTTGCAGTATCTGATCCTTTAAACATCCTGACATGTGGAAAGATAACTCTTCCCAGCCCTCTTGAAGTTAGACACAGCCATAGGACTGTGGCTGGCGGTGAAATCAGAGCAGAAGTGTCACTTTTTTTTTAAGATTTATGTATTTATGCATACAAGAGCTGGGGTACAGGCCAGAGGTGTGGGGGGGGTGAGAGGAGTCACCAGAGACAGTGGGGAACAGAACAGGCAGATTGACTGAAATACACTGCTGAGGGGAGCAGCGGGCGAGTCAGAAGAGGTCTGCTACACCATGTGGGTTGCTCCCTGGCTGGGGATCGAACTTGTGCTGCAGTGGCTGTGGATAGCTTCATAGGTTGCGTCTTAATCCCTTACGCCACCAGGGAGGCCCCAGAAGTGTCACTAATTGCCAGTAGTTGATGCTTCAGTCCACTCCAGGGGTCATCATGGAAACATGTCCATATGGAGAGTCCTTGTAATCAAAGCAGCCCAGAATGCTGAGCCAACACTGAGAGGACAGGTGTCCCGGAGCACCTCCCGGCATATTTCTTATAAATGAGGAGTAAACATTTTGCTTCACTAAATAAATCACCAAGATTAAGGAGTCATTTGCCTCTTTGTTGTTAATCTATCTGATCCTGAGGAATAAAATTACTATACTATTGTATATAATGTCTTCAATAACTTGTCTTATTGTCATGCATACATTTGACTTATTGCATGAATAAATTGGATAAAAAGCTATTAGCTTTGGGCCTCCCCGGTGGCGCAGTGGTTGAGCGCTGGGCTGCGAAGCTCTGCAGCACTGGTTCCATCCCCGGCTGCCAGGTGAGGGTCCCACGTGGTGCGCAGACCTCTCCTGCTGCCCGCTGCTCCCCTCGGCAGTGTACTTTGTCACTCTGCCTGCTCTGCTCTCCCCTCTGGCACTGGTGAATTCTCTCACTCTCCCAACCCGCTCTTCTGACTGTACCCAGTGGTTGTATAAATAAATAAATAAATCTTTAAAAAAAAAAGCTATTATCTTCTTGCTCTCATTGTTTCACCTACAGAATCTTACAGAATTGCATATACATAGATAGTGTTCAATTATGTGTTGAATCACTTAAATTTAGAGATAGATAATTTTAGAATGTTTGGTGAGTATTACACAGAATATGCAAGTCTGTTACACAGTATTACATAGAATATTTACTAAATGGTAGGACAATAAATCAGTCTCTTGCCTCTATCCCTTCTACTCTTAAACCCACCAGAGCTCCCCCCACCCCAAAAGAGTCAAGCATATGCTCACAAAAAGCATTTCCAACAATCTGCAAGAAACATGTCCTGACTAGTCTTGTAGACACTTCTACCTATGATATCCACAAATGAATGCTTATTATTTTATTGTGTTCTTCTGGTATCCAATTCAAATTGATGATGTCAGCATTAATTAGAAGTTGTAAGATCAAGTCAAATCAGTTTTAAAAATTAGACGACTTGAGAAATACAAGGGCCTGGGGCCTCCTGGTGGCGCAGCGGTTGGGCGCAGGGCTGCGAAGCTGCCCGCAGCCTCTGCAGTGCCGGTTTGATCCCAGGCTGCCTGTGAGCCTCCCACATGGAGCTTAGACCTCTCCTGCCGCCCGCTGCTCCCCTCAGCAGTGTATTTCGTCAGTCTGCCAGCTCTGCTCCCTGCTCTGGCTCTGGTGAATTCTCTCACCCTTCCGCACTTCTGACTGTACCCAGTGCTTGCATAAATAAATAAATAAATCTCTAAAAAAAGAAAAGAAAAGAAAAGAAAGAACCTGAGCTAGTGTGGTAGTCAAAAACTGGAAAGGTTTATTGCAGTATCTTAGCTGGCTTGTTCCCTTGATGCTGATCCCAAGTTTGCGCTCTCCCTCTCTTTTTCTCTTCTACTTTCTCTCCCACTCCATGCCACCTCCACATCTACTTTTCTTTTCTTCCTTGCTTTAAAAAAAAAAAAATCTCTAAATGAAGATGCATTTCCTAAAAGTACAATCTCTCTAGTCTTGTTCTTGCCCCTGGTGTCTCACTAACTCCCACATACAATCTCTCCATTCCCAAGTGTATTTCATGTTCCTGACTTTCTGAGGCTTTATCAGAGACTTCTCTCTAATTGCTCTTGCTTCCTGCCACTACATATTTCAATTTCCCCCCATCCTTCTGTATTTGAATATCCATTCATTATTCAAGACCCAACTCTGTGAAAATATTTACTTCTCCAGTGAGAATTAGTGGCCCTCTCTTCTTTGCTTTTTTAAAACTACATTCTTATAATTGCTATTACCATTCTTTGCAGTTATTAGGTGATCAGTCTCTGTCCCTCACCACAAAGAGAACATCTTGAAAGAAGGAATTGTTTTGTCTTACAGTTTCCTGGAGCAGAAAGCACAGTAGCTGACACTACGTCCTTAATAAATATTGAATGGATTCATTGAAATGAATAAATAGCAAATTAGAATTTAAGAAACTAAAGATTAAGAGGGCAGTTTCAATATGATAGAATATCCCAAATGATTTAATGAACTAATTTCATGTAAATATTAACTATATCCACTAGCTGATTATAAAGCACTAGATTATATTAGAATGTATCTCCAAAATTTTTCTAACTGGAGATGGTAAACAGAGCACAAGCACTTGAGACTGAACAAAATTTTGAGATAATAACAGGGTTTTCCCCCTATTGTTTCTTGTTCCTTGTGACCTTCCCCCAACTTAAGCTGCCAGAACATTGCAACTTCACTGCTCCAGGCAAAGCATGACGCAGCAGAACACAGATAACAAAGAGTCCATTCTTAGCTTTTAAGATTCTAAAGCTAAAATCCTGGCAAAGGCAAAAGATTTAGAATATATGCTCTAGTATCGATTTCTCTTGCTCTTGATGCTAGAGAAAGTTTTCCTAAACTTGGGGCAAAGACAAAGAGAGAGGCTAAAAAAAGGATAACTACTAAAAAAAAAGAAACAAAAACCTGATGTACTATATATGGCTTTCAAGCCAGTGGAATATTGACCTATCTAGTGGAAAAGGAATAAAATGGGAAAAAAGGAAACAATAAAGTGAGATAAGAAGAAATCTTAAA